TCCCTCCACCTCTAAATCTTCTTCCCTCTTTTTCATTTTTGTTGTTATTATTAAACTTATCTCATGTTTAAAAAATAATCTTTACATTCACTTAGCTCATTAGGTTCCTGAGCATGACATATGGATATTCTATTTATTTACTCTTTCCCTTGCCTCTCATCCCCTTTCTCTTGGACCCCTTCCCATTTGCAACCAATCTATCCATTTGTGTCCCATCCGTCCTTCACTGTACTCTTTGTACTTTGCCTTACTCAAATGAGAAATTTCGCTTTTATAAGTCTTGATGTCTGAGAGGTAATGATAATACCCAATCATTAGGTTACTTTCATTTTATCATAATTATTTACTACAAATACATTTGGAAAAACATCCTAACTTAGGAACATTCAAGTTGTGAGCTTTCCCAGATATGAGCAGATCTTGCATTAGGAATAGATTCTAACAAATCACAGAGAGAAATAGATTGTGTTGTCTACAGGGCATTGCTTGCAGCTGTGTACTTACTGTAGAGTTCAATAGCATGCAATAGTAGTATATTGCAGTCAGGTTTTTTTCTGTATTTTTATTGGGAGTTATGCATGACATTACATATTCATGTCACATATATGTAAGACTCACTTTGTTAGACTTAAAAACAAATCTGACTTATGAACATTGTCCTGGAACAAAACTTATTCATAACAAAATATATATGAAAGTATGAACTAACTCTGTATAATTTAAAGAGCTCATACCTTTGAACAAAGAGTGGTAATAACCTCAAGAAGGGTCATAAATCATCTAGACCTGACTTATCAAAATAGGCCTCCAGTTTGAGAATTCATTAAGAATATTTGTATTCTTTGTAAATATTATCTAAATTTAATCTTTGCACCTCAATAAGGCTATGCTTATGGTGTCAGATATGGAAAACAGCTTAATTCACTTATAAACATAAACAAAGAAACAAACGAACAAGAAATTCTTTGCTTGAAATATATACACATATTCACATTAATCATCTGGATGAATTTTACTGTTTTACAATGAAAACTGTGTTACGTTTTGTGAACTTCTGGTTGTTTAATGCTAAGCCCTGGCCTGATTTCAATTGTAGCCCAGCCAATTATCAGCACTGCAACAAATCTCTAAGCTTTAGTGTCTACAAATACAATAATAGCACTTCATATAGTTGTAAAAAAGAGAATACAAGGGGAATTTAATTTGAAAATGCTATGTATCTTATTCATATTTATTCAGTACCATACCAGGAATTAGGAACAGTGCAGGGGCTGATGTCTGTACTCTTGAAGTCTACACACTGTTTAGGAGAGAGAGACATACAAACATGTAGGATGTCGAGGAAAATTTTTGCAGGAAGATCTTGTCACTGTGGGTTTTCTAGGTGAGCTGTTCTGGTGTGAGACAAAACTTCATGTAGTACACATTGTTTGTGATGAGTCTAAAAAGTATGTCAGGAGAGAGAAGATAAACTGTGGATTGAAAACCACTTGTAATTGTAGAAACTGAAGGGATGACGGTAAAGGGTATTCAGAGCAAATAGCGCTAAAGAAAATGCAGGAGGTGTAAGAAGCACTGAGTCTGAAAAGGATGTTATCTGTTGAGCCTCGGAAAGGCAATAACTTCAAACAGCTTGTCAAGGGCCATAAACACAGACTTTGAGATCTGATATGGAGGATATTGATCTATGGTTCTCGATGAAAGAGGCGCTTTAAAACAGGTAGTCTAGCTGTAGTGTGAAGAATAATTGGCACTTCTTTAGAGAAACAAATACATACCTATTGTCAAAATTCAGAGTGTAGTGATGAGGTTAGATATAAAGACTAAGGACAGAGGTCAGTGCTTGGAACCGATGATATGTTTGCCTTGGAGCATTGGTCAATTTTGATTATTATATTAGATCTGTTTACAGCTTATAAGTAGATGTCTCCCTAAGCCTCACATGCTCATAGGTGGAGCTTTGGGGAGTGACTGGATCATGAGTGTATGATTCTGGGGAAGCCTGTTGGTTGGTATGGCATAGCTCTGTGTATGGATGATAAATTTACTGAAAAGGGAAGACCCACTCTGGGTCTTCCAATAGACTTGTAGCTGGGATGTAGTAAAAAGCGGAAGAAGAAAGGGGTCCCACTACTTCCAGCTGCCTGGCCATGAGTTCTTCTTCCTGCCTTCCATGTCTCTCTGCCCTGCTGCCCTGCCTTGGAGCCAGCCACCTGTAAACCAAAACTTCTGCAAACTGTGAGCCAAAATAAGCCTCTCCTTTCATTTTGGGGTGTTGAATATTTTTCCCCAGCAAGGAGAATGTAATTACAACAACTATGTTGAAGAAAGAGATCTAGGAGAAATACTTCTTTGCACTGTTGGAACTCATTTGGCAATAAAAAATTTTAGCCATAATTTTGTGCATTTAAGTGATAAATTCTTCTGTTGTTGTAGAGCCAAATCCAAGTTCCATATACAAGACCCCCAATGACCTTTATCTAATTCTGCAGCCCCTTTTCTAACGAATATTTAGATATCACTTAGTAACAGTTCTCAAGAAGGTGACGGTCATTTCAGTCTCTGTGCCTTTGTACACTCAACTTCCTATGCTTAAATACTGAGATTTTTCCACTGTACAATTTTTATTAAAATTATTGCTCTAATGCAAACATAGTTGACCAGTTTCTGTGTGCTTTCTACCGCTGGAATATGGTAGGTGCCTCAGAAATTTTTAGATACTAAATGAATAAATAAGGTGAAAATATTATATTGAGGCAACTTTGCATGATAAATTTCTGCCTCATGACAGGTCATTTCTCCAAGCATTTTCAAAGCTATTGTGATAAGCTTCTGAATAAAATCACTATTTATTTATAGCCTGCAT